CCTGGCACCTCACTACCTCTCTGACCTGCTGACTCCCCTTTCCACCACACGCCACCTCCACTCAGGCCTCCGGCTTATCCCTCCCGTCCATTCAACCATCGGCAGCTGTGCTTTCAGCCACTACGCTCTGAAACTTGGGAACTCTCTCCCTCAATCCTACTGCGTTGCCTCCTCCTTCCCCTTTTTCAGATCACGCCTTAAGACCTTCCTCTGTGACCATGGCTACAGTCACCTCCCCCTGGCTCAGCGTCAGGCTCTATCACTGTTAAGTGCTCCGAGACGCTACAATGAGTGAAGAGAGCTATACAAATACAAGTTGTTGTTGTTATCAGAAGGCAAGGGGAAGCGTGTGATCTGGGGTTAAGGATGATATCGAGTTGGGGGTATTGGGGATGATATTGGAGGAGTTTAAGAAGCATTTAGGGGTATTAAAGTCTCAGGGTATTTATATCAAAGAGACCAGCTTCAGAGCAAAGAATCGCTACAGACCGGAAAGTCAATACTCACCCTCAACACTGACATTTTTAGTCACCTTGAGGAACCAATAAACATCCTGGTTGGCGGGGTAGCTGTGTGGATAGTTAGGGCTCTGGATACGCGCCACATGGTAGGAACACTGAGTGCCAGGGAGACAGAGCGGGGCTGCAAAAGGCAAACACCATGAGGCAGAGGTCAAGTAACAGGCACAGAGTGTTCGTGAATGGGCAAAGAGATTGTTAATGATGATAATAACAACAATAATAATCCTTTCATTTGATATAGCGCCCCATCATGTTATTGGGACGTCTCAAAGCGCTTCGCAGAATATATTCTAAATTGAATTGACTATATTTTTGTGGGCAAAACGCAGCAAACCTTTGCGCACAGCAGTGCCCCACAAACAGCTGTGGATTGAGTGACCAAATTATTATTTTGTTAATTTACTTTTTTTGAAGGGATTATCTTACCTGCAAGGCGATCCGCCAATCAACCAACAAGCGGGTTCCTACTTACTGCTAGGTAAACAGAGGAGTGGGGAGTAAGGAAAGTTGCCTAAGGTTTCGCCCAGCCTGGGTCATCTTGCTTGCAAGGCAAGCACATTAATCAATATGCTGCAGGACTCCACAGGTCAGGGAATGGACATAGAGGTTAGGGAATGGCTGTAGAGTGAGATTGCGGATGAAGAGAGGGGGGACTCGAAAGTTGGACAAGTGTAGAAATGAATGATCATTTAAGGGAGCTTTGAAAAGCTATAGATAATGAGGAGAGACAAATCGAGAGCGTGAGAAGAGGAGGGAAACCTACCGTTCTCTTCAGATGGAGATCTCTGTGCTTCTCTCTTATTATGCCTGACTCCGTCCGTCCACAGCCAGAGCAGGGCAGTGAAGAACCAGTGTGACAACATGCTGTCAATCCACTGGCTAGGTACAGAACACTGACTGCTGAGATCTGGGCCATTTATAAGCTCCGGGTTTCTGTACAAACAACACTCTGGCATCACTGTGATGCATTGCACAGGACTCGTGACATCTTATAACAACTCATTTCAGCAGAAGTTGGTAGGCAAAGGCCAGCAAGTTGGAGCAAGCTCTGATCACAGCACACACACACACACACACTGCTGTCTTTGACTCCAACAACGAAGCACTCGGACACCAAACACTCCAGAGACCAGCTGGCTATTTGGTTGTAATAATAATAATCCTTGCATTCGAATAATAATAATAACTATTATTATTAAAGACGCTGGTCTAAAAGGGTACAGAAGGAATTGGGACATTTAAAAGTAGTAAAAAGGTCACTGGGATGAAGGATTATTGTTTGATCAGAACTGGGAAACCCATCACCTTACTTAAGACTGTCCGAACCACACTACACAAATGCATAGAAGTTTCCTTCAGTTTAGGCTGTGGCCGTTGTGTGCAGTTTTAGACCATTCACCTTAGAAAGACCCATATTAGAACATCGACCAAAAGCATTGTCAAAGAACGTTTTTTAAAGAGTGTTTTGATGACACAGAGCGAGAGAGAGAGAGAGGTGTAGAGGTGAAGGGATTTAGGGAGAGTTCCAGTGAGCACAGTGGCTGAACTCCTGCCCATCATCGGTGGGACAGAGGGAGTGAGAAACCAATTGTTGGCCAAAGTCAGATGAATGGAGAGCACGGTGGGAGAAAAGGGACTGGAGGAGATGCCAATGGAGATGGAGCAAGATCATGGAGAAATTTGAAAGGTCTTGAAGCAGTTCCATTGAAGTCCTAGGAGCCAGAGGAGCTTAGCATGTATGGAGGCAATGGGCTTACACGGCCTCCTGCAGGAGAGATTACTAGCCTCAGAGTTTGTATGTGTTTGAGTGTATTGAGGGCGGAGGCTAAGGTTCGTGGTGACATAAGCATGGATGAGGGCATCAACTGCACTGGAGGATTGATATTCTGGACACAGAATACATTCCGAGTCAAGCACTGGACATAGGGTTTGAAGCAAAACAAACCGACCAACAACAAATTATGTTTAACATAATATGTAGGAGCAGGAGTAGGCCATTCAGCCCTTCGAGCCTGTCCGCCATTCAATCATGGCTGATCTTCTAATTTAACTCCAGCTAATAACATAATCCTGCCTTATCCCTACATCCCTTAAAACCTTTTACAGCACCTTTCACGTCGGAACAACGTCCCAAGGTGCTGGGACACCAAGAGTATGCACTGGTTCAATTAGCTTGAGCTTTACTTGACCAGGGTGTGGTGGTTGGAACAGCACAGAGGGAGCATTACTCTGTATCTAACCTGCACCATCTTTAACGGCTTCATTCCCTACTATAACTTTGATTTTCAAATGTTCGATACTAACATCACTGGATTAACTTGAAGGTTGTGTTAAGGAGCAGGAGTTGAACAGGAGATGGTTCACCGTTTCATTAGTTTATATATTTAACATTTACCTGATCTTTCCCTATCTTTTAATCTCCTTATTTCTCGAGTATCTGAATCCTGGTAAACAGCTCAATGGTTTCTGTGTTTAAGAGCCGGTGGTGTCTCTCCGCACCTCATTGGAAAGGTCACTTTGTGGCTACAAAGGCTCAAGCTGTTTGTGTTCACATCGTGCTTACACCTTTCCAACACAAAGTCAGTTCATCGCGGGTCTGGCTGAGATGCCAGATACAGACAGCTGCCCTATGCTGTCTCTGCGATATTGCAAGGTGCTGAATGAAGGCTCGGTTTCCCTGTACACAGGCCAGCACTGTCCTCAGCACTTCAAACACTGGGTGGCAGTCTGACAGCTCACAAAACACACAGAGGCCCATCAGTGTTTGACTGGCCCAGCGCGAGCATCACTCTGCCTGGGAGCTAAACACAGAACAGATTGCAGTATATGTAATAGTAATTCCTACATTTGATATAGCACCTCATCACATCGTTGACAAGTCTCAATTTTGTGGGTGAAACGCGGCAGCCAATTGCCCACAGCAGTTGCCCCTAAACAGTTGTGGATGGAGTGACCAAATTATTATTATTATTTTTTTGAAGGATTATTACCCACTGAAGAACAACCGGGTTCCTATTTACTGCTAGGTAAACAGAGATTATTAATAATTATTAATAATTACCATTATTATAATAATTATTAGGTGTGAACAGCACATTGCCTCCGCTTGAAGGTCATTAGTTGCTATTGGTATTGTTCTCAACCAACAGAAACGTGGGGAATTAATGCACCTGTTCTCCAGGAACGTTCCCAAAAGCCACTTACCCGGAGGGACATCACCATCTGTTGGTTTACACCAGCATAACCTAAGTTACACCACAAATGGTACTCCAGTATTCCAACTACAGCCTGACCAATGACTTTATCCCATAAATAGCTATACTTCCTAATTTGTCTAAAAATGTTGATATCGTGCCCCCTATACCCAAATTCAGTTTGTATATACATTGAGAAGAGCTAAATTCAGAGGAACTAAATCGTGAACTATTCCCACCCTCACAGATCCCACTGGTAGAACGACAACAAAAACGTATATAGCGCACTTCACGTGGGGACGCTTCTCGGAAAGATTAATAAGTGGTTGAGATTGACGACGAGTCGGGGAGAGAGGGGAAGGGACTGTAGACTCGGTCGAAAAGGATGGTCTTCAGGTGCATTCTACATACTGGCAAAGAGGGGACAAAGTGAAGGGTCTGAGGCAGGGAGTTCCAGAGTTGGGGTGTATTGTGTTTGAAAGCACAGCCGCTGATGGTCAAGTGGAGGGGACAAGGGTCCAGACTTCTCCAGCTAATTCATCCCTAGTCACCACAAAGAACCATTGAGAGAGACAAAGAGAAACAGAGAGTGAAAGAGAAAGAGAGAGAAGGCACAGAGAAAGATCGACTATTGGTGAGACAGATAATGAGAGATTCACTGACCGAGTCATTCAAAGAGAAAGGCAAAAGGTGGGGCTGAGAGAGAAACAGTGAGTGCCAGTGCCAGACAAAGTACAATTCTGATTCAAATCAATGTTGGCAGATCTTTTATTAAGAGCGAAATCAGTACGATATTTACAGGAGAGTTACAGCTGTAATCTGACCTGTTCTCAAATGCTAGGTGAATGTGACTGAGATAAAGGGAAGGGAGTGGAAGGGGTTCTGAATGATTAATTAGGAGTTTTGCTGAGGTTACGATCCTTTAGAATCTGGGTTGACACAGAAGAGAACAATAATAATTTAATAATCCTTGCATTTGATATAGCGCTTTTCACGTCTTCTAGACGTCTGAAAGCGCTTCACAGAATATACTGTAAAGTGAATTGACTGTATAATTGTGGGCGAAACGCTGCAGCCAATTATGCACAGCAGTGTCCTACAAACAGTCGTAGACTGAAGTGACCAAATTATTATTGTTTTTTATTGAATGATTATTATCCCGGAAAAGCGATCCGCCAATCGACTAACAACCGGGTTCCTATTTACTGCGAGGTAAACAGAGGCGTGTGGAGTAAGGAAACAAGGCCAACGTTTCACCCTGCTGGGAATAGAACCCAGGTCTCTCGCTTGCGAGGCGAGTGCTCTAAACACTGAGCTGCAGGACTCCACAGAATCTGATGGCGAACACCAGTGAACACTGGTGCACAGTGTGGTGTGAATGTAAGCCTGGTATCAGGTTAATGAAGAGGCAGTCGATGAGTCAATGACTAGACATCGGTACCAGCCGACATTACTCCCCTCAACCTTCCCCCGCTCCATGTCTGGCTTTAAACTATGTCCTCTCAAATATAACTGTTGACAGAATGAGAAATCGGAAGCTTGGCAGGACAGGGCAGCCTGTCCACAATACACAGCCACCGCCTTTAAGCATCTATTAAATACATAAAATAGAAATAATTTGCAGATAATCAAATAAAAAGCAGGGAAACTGTCCGTGTGTGATTCCCAGTGTTCCCGAGACTGGTTGGAGAGTGCTGCTCACAGCTGGGGAGCAGCTGGAGACAGAGAGAGATGGAGATAGAGAGTGCATGTGGCAGTCAAGCTGGGATGGGCTGGAGCAGAGCGGGATGCACTGTCACATTACATACTGGGAGTTGCGGATGGCACAGCACAAAACCATACTGAAGATCATTCCGAAAATCTGTGGGTAAAAGACAGCGAGGCTCATCAAAGATTCCTGCCATAAATTGTCCCATCAAGGTTCAACTGCAATTTACATTCATATAATAATAATAATCCTTGCATTTGATATAGCGCCTTATCATGTCGTTGACACATTTGAAATGCGTCAGCCAATTGCACACAGCAATGACCCACAAGCAGTCATGGATCGATTGAACCAATTTTTTTTTTTTTTTTGAGTGATTAATAACCGCCGATAGCAATCCGCCAATCGACTGATCGACCAGGACAATAGTTACAGGATTGTTAGGCAAATTAGGGGACAGGTAAGGAGGAATTCCTTCACTCACAGGATTGCTAGGGTTTGAGATTTATGATCATAAGTGACTACTGAGGCCACTCGAATCAATAGAATTGTTCAAAAGAGAACTGGCTTATTGGCAGGACTTGGATGGGCAGATCAGTCACTGGTTTCAGGGAATCATCCACTCAGCTCCTGAGGTTCCCGAGGTTACTCCCTGCTCACCATGACTCCAGCAATCGTGATTCCCATAATCCCGATGATGTATAGCTTCGACCTGAAGAACTCGTCCAGTTTCAGGATGCAGTCCTGCGGGGAGAGGAGTACAGCTCAGCAGGAGCAGAGTACGACCACAACAACAACAATTTGCGTTTATATAGTGCTCTTCACGCAATTTATTCTCGGAGGGCTTAACAGTGGCAGAGCCAAGCGCTGTGCCACACAGACACTGAGCAGCTGCATCACCCTGCAGGAGAGGCCTGAATAAAGAGTGCTTTGATAATGCACACACTGACACACACACTAACACTCACAATGTCACAATGACACACACACAATGACACACACATACATACTGACACCAGACACACATACTGACACACACACACACATACTGACTCACAGACACACAAACTGACTCACAGACACACAAACTGACACACACAATGTCACACACACACACATACTGACACACACACACACACACATACTGACTCACACAATGTCACACACACACTGACTCACACAATAAATGACACACACACATACTGACATACAGACACAGACACACATACTGACTCACGGACACACATACTGACACACACAATGTCACACACACACACACACACACACACACACATACTGACTCACGGACACACATACTGACACACACACACATACTGACTCACACAATGTCACACACATACTGACTCACACAATAAATGACACACACACATACTGACATACAGACACACACACACACACACATACTGACACACACAATAAATGACACACACACACATACTGACACACAGACACACACAGCTGACACAGTTACAAAGACTGAACAGAAAGTGGGCCAACGCTGAATGGAGACTCACCTCGGACTGCTGCTCAGCGGGACAAATGAAAGATTCATTGGCCGTGCCGCAGCACTTCAGCTGGAAGAGAGAGAGAGAGAACGTCACCCGCAACACACCATCCAGCCCCGACAAAGCCCTCGACTCAACCCCAACCCAAAGCTACCTCACCCCCAGTCCCAAACCAACCAGAAAAGGCACGGGAGTCAGGACTGGGGGAGAGAGGTGTACTCACCACTTTGTGGATCGTCACAATTGTGATGTTGCTTTTTGATTCCTTCTTGACTTTTTCCGACTCTGCTTTATAGTATGACTTCATCGTATCAATTATCTGCAAACAGTAACGGTACGGATTACCAGGGGAGAGTGATTACCAGGGGAGAGTGATTACCAGGGGAGAGTGATTACCAGGGGAGAGTGATTACCAGGGAGAGTGATTACCAGGGGAGAGTCATTACCAGGGGAGAGTGATTACCAGTGTGTGTTACAGGACATGCATCAAAGAACACAGCACAGCAACCGGTTACACCCTCTGTACGGGGTGTCCACAAAGTCCTGTTACCCCTTGTTTTCCCCCCCCCCTCAGAATGAATTTTTATTCTCTGTTGCAAACGAGTCGAGTGTAACAGTGTCTGATACCAGTAACTTCCCACCCACTCACTCGCTCGCTCACTCAATCCATGTTACGGAAAATGTGGCACTTGAACATGGCGATGGATCATTAAACACTATGAAAATGATGGCGCTGACTCTCTCTCTCTCTCTCTCTCACACACACACACACACACCCCGACCGATCTTCTGGATGTCTAACTACAGTTAAACAGTTGGGGGTAACAGGACTTTGTGAACACCCTGTACAACCACTCATTAGAGTCTGTCCTTGTGCATAGCAATCAGTTACACAGCGACTCCCAAGACACATCGACCAGTCCTGCGGTGAACAGCACCCACACACAAGGAGCGCGCTGGGATTGCTTCTGGTCTCTGCCCCTGCACAGCAACTAGCTCCAGATACGGGTGTCACTAACTCCTTCCTCTGTTTGCATCTCACACCTGCTCCTTGTTCAGGAAACCCCAAACTCCAGCGGTGATTTCAGCAGCGAATATCACCAGAAGACAGGCGAAAAACTGGAAAACAGGTGGAGAGAGGTCAGTGTTAGCGCAGCCCAGACACTGCCCTACCCCCACCCCCATCCCCCAACCCTGCTCCCACCCCACGATTTACGTCTCAGCCCCTACCCCCACAAATGAGTGCCTCCATTCTCCATTCCCACCCTCATACTCCATCCCACCCCACCCCATGTGTAGTCCTGTAGCTCAGTGGTTAGAGCACTCGCCTCGCAAGCGAGAGACTTCGATTCCCGGCAGGGCAAAATGTTGGGCAAATTTCCTTACTCCACAAGTCACTGTTTACCTAACAGTAACTAGGAACTCTGTTGTTAATTGATTGGTGGATCAATTTTCCGTGGGTAATAATTTCTTCTTCAAAACTAATAATAATTTGGTCACTCAATCCACGACTGTTTGTGGGACGCTGCTGTGCAATTCGCTGCAGTGTTTCACTCACAAAATATAAAGTCAATTTACTTTACAGTATATTCTGTGAAGCGCTTTAGACGTTATTATTATTATTCATAAGGGTGAGCTTTCCCAAGGTGAGAGGACAGGGTTTTGCAGCTATTGCTGCTTGGAGCTGAAGGAAGGAAGAGTTGGTACTCACTGATCCCAACAAGCACTGGGACTCCTGGACTGCCCCACAACATCCGAAAAACCCAATGATCATTATCACCGCACCCACTCCCATCAAGATGTAGATGCCTGGAAGCGAGGAAGAGCCGGAAGTCAGACTGAAGCACCTCAGCTACAGGCTGCACAGGACAGCAGAAACTATCAATAGGGAGAGCGAGATACAAAGAGAAAGACACAGACCGAGAGATAGAAGAGTTGGTGGGAGAGAATCGAGAGACAGATAAGAGAAGTCTGGTGTCGGAGAAAGGGAGAAGTAGCCTTGTATTAGAGGCAGACAGGAAGAATTTTTCACTTTCTAAAATCCTTCATTACCTTTACAACTATGAAGACGTAATTTTGAGTCCGCAGTTTACAATCCAATGCACATTAAAACACTGAGGTATATGATGGTACAATCTAATATATTCACATATATAGGGATGGGGAGACGATCACTACTGGCAAATCATTCCACACTCTCACAATTTTCTGGGAGGAAAAAGACTTTCACACTCCTGGTAAGAATCAAATCACTTACCAGTGGAAATAACTCCTCAAAATCCATCCTCTCAAAAACTTTAATTAACTTTGACACTTCTTTGACACAGCGCTCCAGGACACTACACCAAGTGAAGGGCGCTATATAAATGCAAGTTGTTGTATCGCGTCATGTCTCAGTCTTCTCTGCTACAACAGAGAGAGTCTTTGCGGAGTTCAAAACTGTGTGCACTATTCCATCTGTGGCCTAACCACTGTCTTGTAAAGATGTAGAATTTCCCTGCTTTGAAATGAATTATAGTAGATAAAACTCAGAATCTTGTTTGCCCTCTAAAGGTTTTCCATCTGTGATTCCATTTTTGAAAAGAACTATATATTTGTATCTTAGGTCCACAATTTGTCCACTCTATTGAGAATTCGACCACTTGAGTTACATTTCTATCCTTTTTGTCTTCTTCCCAACTACTTGACATTAAATTCCATTTTCCACAAATATGCCGACTCTACTAACCTGTGTGCACTATGTACACCATTTCACCCTCTGCTCTCTTTGTCACTTTGCCTATAAACTACAGTCACTACACCTTACAGTGTATCCTGTGAAGTGCTTTGACACTTCCTCCCAACGTGAAAGACGTCATACCAAATGCAAGGATTATTACAACAGCAATAACTTGCACCTTCGTAGTGCCCTTCAAGCAGGGTAGCATCTCAGAGAACTGAGTAAGTATGAATATAATTCCTTATTTAATATGATCCATGAATTTGGATACCCTACTTGCATGTCTAGATCATTACAACAACAACAACAACAATAAGATTCCATTTATAGAGCGCCTTTCACGTCGGGAGAACGTCTCAAGGCGCTGTACAGTTGGGTTGGGACCCGAGCAGAGAGGAAATGGTCAGGGTGAGGGGAGGGAAGGGAGGGAGGGAGCGAGGAGGGGGGAAATGGTCAGGGTGATGGGAGGGAAGGGAGGGAGCGAGGAGGGGGGAAATGGTCAGGGTGAGGGGAGGGAAGGGAGGGAGCGAGGAGGGGGTAGAGAGTCGAGAGGGGAGCTGAAGGCACGGTCAAAGAGAAAGGTCTTGAGACCGGCCTTGAAGGAGGAAAGGGAGGAGGCGGCGAAGGCACTGGGGATAGAGTTCCAGAGCCTCGGGGCTGAGAGGCTGAAGGCCCGACCACCGATGATAGGGCGGTTGGGGCGGGGGATGTGGAGCAGACCGGAGCCAGAGGAACGGAGGGTACGGGCAGGAAGGTAGGGGGATAGTAGGTCGGAGAGGTAGGAGGAAGCGAGGCCGTGAATATAATTAGGAAACAAGAACTGTCTTTTCACATCTGCATATAATTTGTCTGCGCTGGTGCTGAGAAGTAACTGCCTTGGGTTCGAGCCAGGCTAAGTGTGAGCAGAGTTCACACAATCAGTGTGCATAATGAATGGCGATGTGAGAAAGTGACATGTACCGATTGGCACCACTAGATGGCAATAGGAGACAGGATTTGGGGAATTATCTTTGAGTCTGTCTTCTGCACTGCCTTTGGACCGGGGCAGCTTCCGCATACTGCAGTGACCTGAACGTATACGATACACTCAGTATCACATACATATAGACTTCTGGGGAGCTGAACTCAGCTGATTTAGCACTTTTTTTTTGTTGCCTCCATCTGTTTGGACATAGTTACATAGCGTTACATACAGAGTGGTCATAAAAGCAATCTGCCAATTGACTAACAACCGGGTTCCTACTTACTGTAGGTAAACAGAGGCGTGTGGAGTAAGGAAACTCGCCTAAGGTTTTCTCACCGCCCGGGAATCAAACCCAGGTCCTCTTGTTTGCAAGGCGAGTGCTTTAACCAATACGTCACAGGAGCTAGTGTGAGGAGCGTTTACTGAAGCAGCAACGCCCTAACCCACACAATTCATTCATCAGCACGGAGCAGAGCGTCCGTCCGACACACCAGGTTTTGAGGAGCTGGGAAGGATAAAGTGTCACTGTGTGGGAAGAGTTAATGTGTCCGGAAATTAGGAAAAAGCTTATTATGTGAGGCACGGAGAAGGGTTAATGTGCGAGGGCTAGAAAGAGTGAAGATGCATGGGATGGGAAGCGTTAATATGTGAAGGCTGGGGATGGTTAAAGTTTGAGGGATGAGAAGGGATAATGCCGGAGGGTGAAAGTACGAGAGCTGGGAAGGGTTAACGTGCGAGAGTGCGGGGCAGGAAGCTCAGGCTCTCCTGGGCTCACGGCCAAATCCGCAGCAGCTGCTGCTCCACAAAATGTTCCATCTCCTGCAGCAGCAGCAGAGAATTTATGGAAAACATTCACAGACGGCCTGGCTCTTACCATTTCCAGGGCCCAACCTTTACTCCCCCTGCCCACCCCCCCCCAGCCCCAACACACACACTGTAGGGCACAACTCTCACTCCCCTCAAGGACTGGCGCCTAGCTTCCCTTCCCCTCCTTTCCAGGTCCGACCCTCGTACACCCCAAGTCCTCCACCATCCGCCCCCTCCCCAGCCCCTCGGTAGCTTAACACTTTCTGAGGGAGAGTCAGATAACAGGTGAGAAAGGGACAGAGAGACAGGGAGAGAGAGAGAGAGGGTAGAGAATTGTAATTTATCACAGCAAAACATCTCAAACTCTCTTCTCAGTTCCAATATCGATGCAGGATCTTTAATGTGCACCTAAACAGGCACTTCCGACAATCCATCATTCCTGCAGGACTGGCCTGGAATATCAGCCTAGATTGGGAGCTCGATCCTCGATGTGGGGCTCGAACTCACAATCTTTCCAGTACAAACATGCTCCAAGACACTATCCCATGTAAAGGGCATGATGTGACGGGCAAACTGTTGCTGTTGTTACGAACACAGAGCGAGAGAGTGATGCGGGAAGGGTGAAAGGGTTAGCAAACAGCGAATCCCACAGTCATACACATCTGTATTAAACAGGCCAGACTTCTGGAACATCGCTCTGACCTTGTTTAGCCGGATTACTATTGTAAAAACGTCCTGACAGGAGATGGGAATCTGACAGATACAGTAAAGAGACAAGATAATGATTAATCCTTGTGTTTGATATAGCGCCTTTCATGTTGGGAGGATCTGGCGGTAAAGGCGGTAAAGTCAGTCATTCAGTTTGTAGGATAATGAATCCTGTGAAGCGCTTTGAGACTTCCTCCTGACATGAAAGACGCTGTATAAAACAAGGATTATTCATTATCATTCTCTCTTTCAATGTCACTTCACAGGATTCAACAGTGAATGAGTGAAGTGAGTAATTCAAATTGTATTTGAAGGATTGTTGGCCAAGATATTATGTCTGCGAGAGAGAAACTCCCTTCTCTTTCCTTATCCTTATACATTGCGGGATCTTTAACGTCCATCTGAACGGGCAGACGGGACCCTAGTTTAACGTTTCAACCCGTGAGTTTCTGTGAATGTTCATTTCAACACCTCCTCTTGGATCTGCTCATTGTGGACCAGCCCAGACTGAGAGACCTACTGCTCTCACTGCACATGGAGGGGCTATCCATTGGGCACAGCTCACGTGCCCAATTCAAGGCACGTGAGCTGTGCATATGTGCGTGCATAACAAGGCTGCCATGAGACTGATACTAGGAGCTGGCAGTTAAACTGCTCAGTGTATCAGGAAATTATGTCACTCTGGGAAACAAGGAAAACTTCCTGAATGCTGCACCCCTAACCCGCTCCTCCCACCTACCATCACAATCAGCTTCCCGTCCCTTCAACTCTGCTTACTACTCACTAAGAGAGGCCCACCTCAGAGAGGGACGCTAGGCACTGACCCACCTGGAACAGGCACTCCGTCACAGCACGCACTCCCACCCCCCACCCCGCCACAGGGGAAGGGGGAGACAGGGAGGGGAGAAGCAGTGGTCATGAACCTCTTCCTGCCTGTTCAGGTTTGCTTGGCAGAAGCTGAGGCTCACTCGCTCGCTCACTCACTCACTTACCGACACAGAAGTGTGCGGGGCACTGTCCAGCTCCAAATATGGCAGTTGTCTTCGAGTCAAAGCGGAGCCACAGGGCGACAGCGAGCACGGCTGTGCCGGCCAACTGGTGGGAGATGGGAAAGTTAGTATAACAATCCGTGTAATTGATACAGCGCCTTATCACGTGGCAGAGATGCCTCAAAGCACTTCACAGCATTTTACTGTCGAGTGTAGTGATTGTGTATTTGCAGGCATACACGGCAGCCAGTTTGCGCACAGCAATGTCCCACAAACAGCCAAAAAGCTAGCGAGCAATTTTATATCAGGAATTGTCAGCTAGGACACCGGACGAAACTTCCTTTCCTTTTTGAATCGTGCCGCGGGATCTTTAATGTCCACCTGAACAGGCAGGCAGAGGGGACTTCAGATTAACATCTCGTCCGAAGTTCGGCACCTCTGACAATGTAGTGCTCCCCCAATACTGCATAGGAGTGTCAGCCTGGACTGTGGGCTCAAAGTCTCAACGTGGTGCTTAAACAACAACCTTCTGATTCAGAGGCGAGAGCGCTACCAACTGAACTGTGCTGACACCTGAGGTGAACTGAGGAGGTAATCCTTAAACTAGATCCAGATTACAGCAGGAGCCCAGCCAAACTACAGGCAATGGTTTGGAAAGTCTTTAAAACTAACTCACCACACTCAACACACATGGACACAAACACCCAACATACGCAAGGACACACACCTGGCTACATACACACCTGGTTACATACACGTACACACACACACACTAATACAAATACACACAACAAACTTACTTGCATACATATAAAAAATACAGTCAATCCACTTAGGTACTTGACAAAGTTGTTGTTGTTTACAATATATTCTGTGAAGCCCTTTGAGACATTTTGAACAATGTGATAAGACACAATATCAGATGCAAGGATTATTTTTATACAAACCTCTTGACATAAACATAATCATTCACCAACAGACCCGTCTATACACACACACCGACCGCAGTTTACTAGGAACATTATCGTCACTTGTTGTGAATCTAGTAAAAAGGAGTTTCCGCACTGACAGGATGGTGTCTTGGGAAGGGTGTGTGGGAGTTGGAGACAGCTCTGATGGTGGCAGCAAAAAGGATGTGGGATGTGGCTGGAGCCGGGCTGAACCTACAATCACAAACCTCCGGCCACTGCCGGTGATGTCACTGCTATTACTGCCTCGTCCTCCGCAGACACCAGCTTCTTGCCCTGCCGTGTGCCACGGCAGCTGTGGACAGCTGTAACAGTCTGGGCACAGATGTCGGGCAGCGGATGGCAGCCTGTATGAGAGGGTAATTGAGTGCAGGAGGCGCTAGGAGCTGCCAATGCATTTCCACATTCCAGCGAGGCCGGCAGAAGAATGCACAGACATTCACATGCGGGAGAACTTTTCTGGGGAATTGTCCGCTCAGCTCACAGCTCCCCTCCCCCCCCCCCCCCCGGCTAATCACAGCACCAAAATTAATTTGGTCACTTAATGCACGACTGTTTGTGGGACGCTGCTGTGTGCATTTGGCAGCCGCGTTTCGCCCACAAAAAACATATAGACAATCCACTAGCCAGTATATTCTATGAAGTGCTTTGAGGCGTCTCGAAGATGTGATAAGGCGTTATACCAAATGGAAGGAATATTATAAACAATGCCTCCCATGGCTTTCCCGCCCCGGACTGCACCACAGCCCCCTCCTCTCCACCCCCCCCCCCCCCACCCCAACACAGTAAAGTAACTGCAGGAGGTCAGAGTATTCATTTCAGGCATCCCCACAGCACAGAGGTCAGACATCACTCTAGCACACAGGTTCAGGAGCACATAGACAGCAGGACACAGTGGGGAATACATACTCGGAAGTACATGGGCGGCAGGACATTGTCTGGGAAGCGCAGTCAGGCTAATCTTTATAAAGATTCTGGAATTTAAAAGCAGGGAAGTGCCTGTTAAATACACACACATACAATCATTCAACACCAGACCCGTATACACACACACACACACACACATCTACACCTAGACTCACCTGGATCTAGTAATGTACTGAGGGAAGCTCGATGTGCCACCAAAAAGCATCCTGAAAATGTATGTATGTTCGCCTATCTCTGCCCCCGCCTCCTCCATCACCCGTAAAGTGGGGAGCAGTAGGGAATGAGGTAATGGCTCACCCTCCTGTAAAAGGGTGGCAGAACTGGGACTAGCCCACCGTGTAACTGCTCCCTGTAGGTAAAGGGAACAGAATCCCGGCCGGGACACCAGCCACGGTGACAAGGATGGAACTGGTTGGGTTGTTTAGTTATGTGTATGGTTTGTGTTGAGATGTTTCCGGGTGTTGTTATGTAAACATGTGTGTGTACAGTCCACATTGGGGTACCATCCGTGATCGGCAGGTGCGTTCTATCAGGGTGAGCGCGGGCGCGGAACATGTATGTATTGCACCCGGGAGCGTTTTCCCGATTGTGTTTAAAGGGAGCGTCTCAAAGAACGTGTACCCATTCTGTGTGTTTGTTAACCTATCTGCACTCCCCATAAAAGGTGGGAGGTGCTGCTTAAAATAGTGAGTGGAATTGACAAATGGGCGCCACATTAAATAATAATAATATTAATACTCGCATTTGATATAGCGCCTTATCACGCCTTCGAGACGTCTCAAAGCGCTTCACAGACGATACTGTAAAGTGAATTGATCGTGTATTTTGTGGGAGTAACTCAGCAGCCAATTGCGCACAGCAGGAGTTTTAAGGAGTATTTTGCCTTTAATTGCAGTTCTGGCTTCCGCCTTTGTTTATATTTCCGTTACTCTCTGCATCGGAAGACGTGTGGTTTTTAAATTGAACAGGCTGCTGGTAGGTAGAATGGATGAATTCCTGTGGCTGGGATTCCACTACGCTTGCTATTGTGGGGAAGTGGTTTACAACAGGACAAACTGTGCTGGAGTTTCCAATGATCCAATGTTCTCCATGCAAGGCTGGAGCACAAACAGCAGACTTTAGACACACACCAGCCTCTCTCTCTCTCTCTCTCTGTCTCTCTCTTTCTCTCAGGGAAACTTAGGGCTGTTCACAACATTTGAGAGCAGGATTCTGCCCTGGACATTAGCAAGAGTAACACATAGGACCATGACACATATGCACATAGATACATGCGTCACAATCACATGCAGAGTCCTGTAGCTCAGTGGTTAGAGTGCTCGCCTCACAAGCGAGGGACTTGGGTTCGATTCCCGAAAGTGTGAAACCTTGGGCAAGTTTCCTTACTCCACACGCCCGATAATAATCCATCAAAACAAAAAAGCCCAATAATAAATTGGTCATTTTCAATCCACGACTCTTTGTGGGGACACTGTTGTTCGCAATTGGCTGCCGCGTTTCACCCACAAATATACGGTCAATTCACTTTATAGTCTATTCTGTGAAGCGCTTTGAGACGTCTCGAAGACTTGAAAAGTGCTATATCGAATGCAAGGATTATTATTATTATTAGATACACACAGATATAAACATCAGAATCACACACAGACACACGCACATACACAGACACACCTGCACACTCACTGCGTCTCACACCTGCACACTTACTGCGTCTCACACCTGCACACTTACTGTGTCTCACGCCTGCACACTCACTGTGCCCTCCCCCACACACACCTGTATATTCACTAATGCTTTTCTGGACTTGGCTTCACCAGTTTACCCTGTGCCTCCCCCACACCACTATAGATCATAGCAAATTACAGCAAAGAAGGAGGCGATTTGGTCCATTGTGTTTATGCCGGCTCTTTGGAAGAACTATCCAATCAATCCCACGCTCTTCCCCATATCATTGCAAACTTTCCTTTTCAAGCACCTATCCAATTCCCTTTCGAATCTGTTTCCACCACCCTTTCAGGTAGTGCATTTCAGACTGTAACAACTCTCTTCATATAAAAAATGTCTCTTCGTCTCCCCTCTGGGTTTTTTTGCCAATTATCTTAAATCTACATCCCCTGGTTACCAACCCACCCACCAGTGGAAACAGTTTCGCCCTATTTATTCGATCAAATCCCCTCAGAATTTTGAACACCTCCATTGAATCTCCCCTGAACCTTCTCTGCTCTAAGGTGAACAGTCCCAGCTTCTCTAGTCTCTCCACATAACTGAAGTCCCTCATCGCTGGTACCATTCTGGTAAATCTCCTCTGCACCCTCTCCAAGTGTATAACTTTCTCTGTAAAGACGTTAGCACCAACTCTGCTTAGGTAAAGTCCATCTCAACTGTAGAGCTCCACTTGCCTGAGACTGACTCACTGTCTCTCGAATCTGAGCATGTTTTTCTTTAGCACAGTAAATCCTGGGTAAAAATGCACTTTGTCCTCCTGACGTGAAAGGCACTACGTCAAATGCAACGATCAGCTAGTTAGTTAGCCAGTTAGTTATGTAGTTAGTTAACTAGTTAGCTATGTAGCTAGTTAATTAGCTAGTTCGTTATGTAGTTATCTATGTAGCTAGTTAGATATGTAGCTAGCTAGTTAGCTCTCTAGCCACATGCTGACATTCCCCAACCTGTCTCTCTGTAGACGTTCTTCTTCATCCAAACCTTCTGTGATTTGGGGATTGTAAAATACAATCGCATAGGCTCAATGAAGAGTTTTATATTAGGAGGGAGGCTGATTCATATATTCTTGAGCCTACTGATAGCCCTTGGGAAAAGAGTAATATTGTTCCCAAGGTTTGATCTGTGATCTGTGATGCAGTGGATAATAATAATCCTTGCATTTGATGTAGCGCCTTATCACGTCTTCGCAACGTCTCAAAGCGCTTCACAAGATATACTGTAAAGTGAATTGACTGCATATTTTGTGGGCAAAATGCGGCAGCCAATTATGCACAAACAATCCAATATACGTTTGAACACTGTGATACCCAATGAAGTATACATACTCAGTATATAATCTAAGAGGAACAATAAGAATCTTTACATTTGGTGCAGCTCCTTTCATGTCAGGAGGACTTCTCAAAGTGGTTCACAGGATGAATGTAAAGTGCAGTGACTTTGTGTATTTTTTGGCGAATGTGGCATCAGGAGAAAATCCCTTCTTCTTTCG